AGCAAATTGCTCTAAAATGAACAACATAATCAAGCATAATAAGTCCTCAACAAAGAAAGCCCAGGACAGGGTGGATTCAATATTGAATTCTACTCGACATTTAAAGAACTATACCAATGTTCTTCAAACTATTTCATAAAATAAAAGGGAAGAAACACTACCAAATTCATCTTCAAAACAAGTCAAAAAAGAAAAAATAATTGCTAGTGAGGTGAAAAGGAAGTGCAGGGGAGGGAGAAGAACCCCTCATACACTTTTAGTAGGAAGGTAGATTGGTCTAGCCACTGTGTGAAATCAGTATGGAGGTTACTCAAAAAACTAAAACTAAGCTACCATCTGATCCAGCTATACCACTCCTGAGCACATAGCCAATGCAATGTAAGATGTCACTAAATAGCTACCTGACAACCATGATTACTGCAACACAATTCATAATAGCAAAGTTATGAAATCAACCTAGGTGCCTATCAACCAATGAATGGGAAAAAATATTTGGTATATATATGTATACATATATATATATATACACAATGGGGTATTATTCAGTCATAAAAACAATAAAACTGTGTCATTTATAGGAAAGTGGATGAACTGGAGATCATAATGTTATGTAAAATAAGACAGACTCCGAAAGGCAAACACAGTATGTTTTCTCTCATTTGCAGAATCTAGATCTATAAATACAAATACACAAAAAGACATGAACATAAATGGAGTATGTGAGGAGGAGGGGCCAGCTTCAATGGGAACAAGGAATAGTAATTGGGGGAGAATAAGATCAGAGTACATTATATACACACAATGAAATATAATGAAACTCATTCTTTTGTATAATAAACTTTAAAATATGAAAAATTCAGTATAACAAATAGTTGCATAGCATTTATACTGTATTAAGCATTATACATAATCTAGGGATGACTTAAAGTATACAAAAGGATGCATAAAAAAGTAATGCAAGTATTATGAAATTTAATATAAGGGACTGCAGCATGCACAGGTTTTGTTATCTGTTAGGAGTCCTGGAAACAATTCTCCATGGCAACCAAATGATAATTCTGTGCTGTTTAAATTAGTGTCCATTATGTAGGGGAAATGAAGGAACTTATTTTAGATCACAAACAACAAGAGACTTGCTCTCAAACTCAACTAAAAGCAAAAAGTTGTGCATCAGAAGCATTTCCATAAAGAATTATGTCCCATGGAACTGTCACAGCTAACTCAACTGGGAGGAGGATTAACGAGTGGTCTGAGTGAAGACAATGCCCAAGAGGTCTTAGCCCTTAGTAACAATATAAACGGTGTGACCACAAAGCATTCATGCTTCTTCCACTATTGTCACCTTAATCCATGCTTTTTCTCTTTGGCACCCTGCATCAACTGAAAAACTAAGAGTTCTGAAGCTATTTCTTAAATATGCACCTCTGGACAACAGTTTTTCCGTCTCTCTGTAAGTCTGAAAAATTCTAATGAATTCCTTCATAATACCTTTTTACTAAATAATATTTATCAAAATAGGTAAGTTTAAATGACACTTTTTTTAAAGGCCATGCAATCTCAGGAAAGTTGGAATGTATGGAGATCACAGTACGTAATGCACATCATATGAGAGGCAAGGAGCATTTCATTGCAGAGAGCTTTCTATAAGCCTTGCAAATACTAGTTTAGTGGCTCTAGAAAAAATTAGCTTTCTTTTTGTAGTCAATCTTTGTGTCTCACTTAGAACAATGTTAAAGGATTTAAATTTCAATAAACGCTATATCTGACATGTTAAATTACCTGACTGAAGCATGAACTCATAAAGTATATTACATGAAATATTTTTAATACCTTCTCAAAATCTGACTGATGTTCCCAACTATTTCATCCCAATGTTTTGGTGTCAAATTAAAATAGCATTGATTTCTGTTTAGGATATTTTAATATAAAGCTAAAAACTGAAACAAACTACTATGTGTGATGAAAATAAAGTATGAATAATATATAGTACAATGAAAATGTGTGTGAAGATACTAAGGAGATGTAAAAAGGAATATAGTTTGGCACTTTATTAACATGATTTTAGAGATTTGTGGATAAAGACATCCCCATGTAGTGAACTAGTGATTAAAAATAATTAGAAGTAGAAGATTCAAAACTCATGGATTATAAGAACTAAAAATACTGAAATGTCATGAGAAAAACATGGAAAATATGAGAGATCTAAGAGAACGCTATGGAATTAGAAAACTTAAATATACTTCAGAGCAAATCACGTGGATTAGGCAAGTCTGTCAGGTATCTCAGGGGTGTCTCAGAGTTTTGGTTGAGCTCCTGCACTAGCTCCCACAGATTAAATCATTTCCTACTGGAGGCACTCATGATAAATGTCACTAATCAAGCCAAACCTTCAAGAAAGAAGACAGATCCCAAAACAGACTGGGTTTTTCTGAAAACAGGAGATTCAAATCTGCCTGGCTGCATAAGGAAGTCCTGTCTGCTTTAATTCTTTCAAAGAGCAAACCTGAATACCTGATGGTACCTGACAAGTTTTATGCGTTATTATTTTTTATTATTCTGTTCTCTTGTTCCCACCTTAGACAGTTCTGCTACTGTCTAGTGGGAGCTTTTATTCTGTTTTACAGAGGCTGTCCTGATTCAAGAATTGCAAATAACAGCTCTTAGACCTATAACTAAGGTAGGTATAATTTTGTCTTTTGACAGGGATACTCAAAATTCACAAACAAAATAACTAAATGTGAATAATATGAACAAAATTTCAAGTAATGCAAATTTCATAAAATTGCTGAAAGAAAACTGGAATGGATATGTCCTTTGAGGTAGATATAATTATGAAAAAGTATTCAGGGAGCATCAAATACAAAATAATTCTAAAGCATTGCAGGATGTTGCATGATAGAAAATACCGAATCTGAATAAAACTATGTTAAATGTATTGACTATAGGACTCTTCTCAAGCAATTATTTATTAATTATTTTTTAAGTTTTAGAGATTATTTAGAATATTCTGAAAATCTCATTAATTCATAGTATGTTTATTGCATAGATGGGGTCATCTACAACATAGATTTTTCACATGAAAGAGAACATAGGGTAAGTTATGTTCCTCATGTTGATCTAAAATAACATCTTGAATACTGGCAGCTAAATAAGGTGTAGGGCCACACTCATTCAGGAAATTTCCCTACAGATGCTTTCTGTGGAGTCTTCAAACTCTGAATTTATGGTCTTGATTCCTCGTAATCTCATTTAAGATATTGATTGCCCTTTGACATTGTGAACCTCCTCAGTTACTAGCACACTAAAGGAATGAATAACATACTAAAATCTATGCACTAAGTATCCTTTGTCATAGGATTTAGAGGTGGGGACTAAATGATTTAATGTGTGGCAAAAGCTTATTAAAGGGTTTGGCACACTGGTTCCTTTAAGGAATGGTTGGAATTATTTTTTATTATTACTTTAAACTTCTGGACTTTGATACTGTATAATCAAAGGACAGTAATCACATTGAAGCTCTGAGTAGCCTTTGTGCCATCCACAGGATACTATGGACAATTCAATAAAATAGAGAATGTGACATCATTATTAGTAACGATAGGAAGGTAGTTGGCACCCTTAACCACTAATTGACTCAGAGAGTCTCTTAGAATTCTGACAGTGACACCTTATGTGAACTTCCCATATGAAAATCACTCATATGTAAGGTTTTACAGGAGATTATGGATTTCGTGTAGCACACGTCATCGTGACAGGAAAAGAACATTAAAAAGGAAAACCTTCATTACCTAATTTATGTTTTTCAAAATACTGTTTCACTTAGACAGTGCATTTTGGTTTTTCCAATATACATTTAGCTAAAAAACAGAGAAATATGTAGGTCCTGAAAATGTAAAATAACTGGTGAATTTGAATAAGTCTCTGGCCTAAATTGGGATCCTGAGGAATGTCACCTGGATTTCAAAAATGTATTAATATCTGTGTAGAAGGAATGGGCACTGATAACTGTTCAAATTAATATAAAAACAGGGTGATTAGATTAAGAAAACCCTTAATGTGTGGATAAAATAACCAAAAATTTAACATAAAAGAACAAAATGCCCAAAGTTAGAACTAAGTTCTTCTACAAGGAAAAAATTACACAAAAGGCAAATTGCTAAACAAGAAGAAATCTATTTCACTGAAATTTGACTGCCTCAATTTATATTGGAAGAAGGAAGGGGGTGGGGGCAGGGGGGAGAAATGAACCAAGCCTTGTATGCACATATGAATAATAAAAGAAAAAGGAAAAAAATTTATATTGGAAGAATATGAGGGTGAAAGTATTTAAATTTTTGCATTAGTCAAAATGGCTAAAAGATTGTTTAACACCAAAGTCCTATTACTCCCCATAGAGACAAAGTATTTATTCCACTGACTAATTGATGATGGACAAGGTTTTCTTGGCGATTCTTATAGTTCTGGGATTTCTACCCCTATTACTAATACCTCAATACTTTGACTCTTCTTAATATTTCGGTAATGCCTTGCAGCTGTGCCTCTGAAAATGAACCATACAATCTACTGTAACAGACACCTGGAGATAAAAACTAAAACAAACACACAAAAAAAAAAAACATCATTTTTAACAACTTCTTCAGCTGACTTTTATGCAAGACAAAGTTTGAAACCAATTACTTTGAAGTTACCAAAAATACTAATTCACTTCTAATTTCAGCTTAAAACTTATCAGAAATCAAGATGATAGTTATTGTCAGTGTTGAAGAGGAAATTCAAGTTCATAACAAATGGATTGTTTGTTGAAGGTAACTGCCATTAATTTACAGTGTCATAAAGAGAAATGGAGTTACTTGGTCACTGGCCATTTATGTTGTATCTCTCACATTATTGTACCTTTCCCTCTATGCTTGCATGCTCAGTGCATAATTAAATTTACCATTCCTTATAATTCTCTACCTTTTTAATCACCACCTAACTTTATGTGAAACAAATTAAGGAAAATGGCACTAATTAATGAAAGTCACCCTGAAGAGTTTATTCTACTAGGCTTTGCTGACCATCATTGGCTAGAGCTTCCTCTATTTATTATTCTTCTGATAATATATCCCATAGACATGATAGGAAACATTGCAATCATTCTGGTGTCCAGGTTAGACCCCCATCTCCACAGCCCCATGTATTTCTTCCTCTCCAACCTCTCCTTTTTGGACATGTGTTACACCACAAGCATTGTCCCTCAGATGCTGTGTAACCTGGGAAGCTCTACAAAGACAATCAGCTATACTTGGTGTGTGGTTCAGCTTTATTTCTACAGCATAATGGGAGGCACAGAATGTCTACTCTTGGCCATTATGTCTGTTGACCGCTATGTGGCCATCTGCAGACCTCTGCACTACTCTCTCATCATGAATCAGCACATCTGTATCCTATTAGTGTCCATTGCGTGGCTGACTGGAATGATCTATGCAATCTCTGAAGCTTCTATTACACTCCAGTTGCCAATGTGTGGTGTAAATATACTTGATCACTTGGTGTGTGAAATTCCAGTTCTGATAAAAACTGCCTGTGGTGAAAAACAGGCTAATGAATTTGCACTCTTTTGGGGATGTATTTTTATGTTAGTTGTTCCTCTATGCTTAATTCTTGCTTCCTATGGTAGTATCGGACATGCTATATTGAAAATCAAATCTTCTGAAGGAAGGAAAAAGGCCTTTGGGACATGTTCTTCTCATCTCATTGTAATTTTCTTATTTTCTGGTCCAGCCATTAGCATGTACCTTCAGCCCCCCTCCTCCATCTCTAGGGACCAGCCCAAATTCATGGCTCTGTTCTATGGAGTGGTGACTCCTACAATCAACCCCTTCATCTATACCCTGAGGAATAGGGATGTGAAGGGGGCATTAGGCAACCTGGTGAGGAGTATTTTCTGTCGCAAGTGACAACTGGTAAACATCCAATGATATTTAATGGTTAGGGTGGATTGATATGAGTTTCTGTAATATTCATTCTTGTCTCATAAATCTCATGTTAGATGTTCTCACAAAATACAATGAAAATCTTATGGTCTTCATGATTATGTTAGGCAAGAATTATACTACTCTGTTGTGAAAATATATTAATAGTTCCATTCTGGTTACTATATATTAAAATTATAAATTTGTTAAGTAGTTAAAATCTAATAATATAAATTATAATAGTAATTAATTGGTTCAAACTAATCATTTCAACAATTGTAAAAAGTAACATGGTGAGCATTCATAACTGTGCTTCCTATCAGTTCTACCTAAGAAACATTTCATTGCTCTCTGCAAGTTTAGCACAAGTATATGTGGGCAACATGGCTATAACCTAGAATGCTGTGTGAGACACTCTAATCTCTGTCAAAGAATCATGAGTCTGATAAAGTAATCAATTTCAATATATAAAGATGTCATTGCATCTTTAAAATGCATTGAAATTATTGATTAACAAATAAGCTGTTCAGTGTTTTTGTGATTTTATTTTACCATTAAATATTAAGATGAATAGAATAAGGGAATAAAATTTATGGATAAGTTACATAAAATTCACTTTAAATAGCATATACATGAATCTTCTGAATCAGTGAGGAGCAAGGAAGTAATGTTAACAAGGACCTGCAACCTGACAACATTTGCATGCATAAATTGAAAGAGCTTGGAGTGCCCTTTAAATCTGTGAAACAATCAATCAGTATGAGAAAAAAATTGTGTTTCTGGAATGAAAAGCAACTTGATTATTTCACCAAGCAATATGAGTATTTTTCCACTGTATCAAATGATACTCAAAATATTAAAAGGTAAAAAATGCTAAAACTTTTTCCTAGAACTCAGGTACTGCTATTTTTAATGTATCACCTCCAAAATTTATTTGTTGAAACTTAATGTGCATTTTGACTGTAGTGAAGACATGACAGTACTCCCTCTTGAATAGGGTAAAGGCCCTCCAGAGCCTTAAAAGAGGTTCAAATCAAAGTTAGGTGCTTTTTGCCTTTCTACAGTCCACCATGTGACACAGGGATACTGCCCTCCAACAGATTGAACAGGGTGCCATGTGGGAAGCAAGACTGAGGCCTTCCTAGACACTAAGCCTGCTGCTGCCTTACCAGGAGCTCCCTGCATAAAGACCTGTTTGAAGTAAATTGCTGTTGTTTATAAATTACACAATCTCAGGAATTTTGTTACACCAACTGAGACATACTCAAAATGTAAAATATCAACATAAAAAGAGTTAAAACTTATGAAAACATCTTGAGGAGCTTGTAATTTTTGAAACTGAATACATGTATTAAAAATTCAACATGGCATTGTGTAGTGAAAAAATTCATGCTGCAACAAAAATAGAAAGTCATATGCACATTTTGTTTTGTTTTCTGTTATGATCAAGATCTAACCATCATTTGAAGAAAAATCATGTTATCCTGAACAAGAAACAAATGTAAACAAGAAAGGTGTAGGTTCAGTTCAGAAGACATTGGACTATGGTATATTTAATTGGGAAAAAATTCTCAGTGACCCTAAATTTTATTTTAATATCATTCATGGCTAACCATTAGAAAAGGTTCCAAATTTTTCACATAACACAGATGTCTATTAAGTAATATTTTTGATATGTTAATTGATATCTTCCATCATTTCTGTTAATTAAATTTTCATTTGTGTACCCTAGTCTTACATACTGAGAAATAAAATACTTTTAGTTTTCAGGGCAAAATCCAGCATGATTTCTATCAAAAGCATAGCATATGGAGAGGCTACGGATTTCCTGTCTGCTTTTTTAATTATCCTCGGTCATGGGTTAGTTAATTTATGTACTAGTTTTTAGGTCTCCTTTTAGACTTCTCATTTCACAAATGTGACTGACACCCACGCAAACTCATGAAAAATAAGGACTTCCAAAGAATAAGGTAGAAAAATCTCAGGACAAAGAATATTGCTGTTAGATGTAGTAAACACCAACTAAAGTATTTTACTTGTACTAGACTACTGCCCATTTCCAGGGCATATATGTTCTATGTATTCTACCATAAATCATACCTTAGTTTGCTTTTGGGAAGCTCTGGAAAGGAAAGGAGCATATTATATCTAAAGGTGAAATGTGCCCTTCCATTGAAGTAAAGTATGAGCAATGCTGAGGTTGCCTTTTCTAGCAATGTGTGTGGCTTAATGCTTTCTTATTTTTGCAAGTAGCAAATTTTTCCTGAAGAGCAACTGGAAGACAGCAAAGGATCTAAACAAATAAAAATAAAAACAAAAAAATGCTGACAGTAATTTAAAAAAGGTCTAAGATCTAAATCAAGAAGTTTTAGGGATGATTTTCTCCACACTAAAGGTGTCTTCAGTTCCACATTGTGTAATAACTGCAAAGCAAGAAGTACATCCTGTCTGGGGTGGTGTGATGACTAAAATAAAGCACATTGTGATTCTGATTCAATAAATGCATTATGAATACTACAAAACCAATGCCTTTTAAATTTTGGTTCTCAGAATTCCAATGCCTTGCATGAGTCCCAGAAGCCACTGGGGGATGAAGTTTGGATGAAGAAGCATTAGAAATGACACAATAGGGAAATGCATGTCAGATACTGTTTGAAGAAAGGACAGTATATAGAAACACAGGCATCACTTCCCTTGTATTCTGAAAATTTTTTTTTGTTTATATTCACATTGTTTATATTCACATTGATTCAAAAGAGTGTATCTTGACTAAATGTTTAATTATTTCCCTGAGCAAAAAACGTATGTATAACATACACAAAAAAAAAAAACCCCACAAAAACAAACTTTAGTGTGTAGTAATAATTCACTTAATTACTTAAGAAGTTGGGGGTTTGGAGGTATGACTCAAGTGGTAGAGTCTGACTGTCCAGCATGAAGCCCTGAGTTCAAATCCTAGAACCACCAAAAAAAATTATTTCAAAGTCTGAGCACCTTTATTTTCATTAAGATTTTTATCAGGGCGGAGTGGGTGGTAAGGGAGGGAGTGGGGGCAGGGGGGAGAAATGACCCAAGCCTTGTATGCACATATGAATAATAAAAGAAAAATGAAAAAAAAAAAGGGAAATGAATAATCAATGTAAAGTACTTCAGAAGTAATATCTGATATGTAATGTACTAAATGTGAATAGGCTAAATTTTTCTTTTAATACAGAGATTTAAAGATTGAGTTTAAAATGAATTTAGTCAAATTTTCCTTAACAAACATTCAAGAAACATGGTGACAGAAAGTTTGAAATGACTGGAAATAGAAAGAACTACCAGATGAAAACAAAAAGAATAGCAGAAATGGCAGTAATGCTAGCAAGTAGATCTGAGACTAAACAGGATGATTATATTATTTAAAAAAACAGTCCATGAAGAAGAAATAATAATAACCATTAAATGTTTTTTTACAAAAAAGTTAGTGGTCAAATCCAAAACTATTAAAAGCTTCTTTAATATTAAGAAAAAAATAACTAAAACGATAGAATATGTTTAAGCATTTCTTTTACATTTTGATGGCTTAAGTAGAGAGAAATGACAAGGATAGAAATGATCTGGATAATATAATTAACAGCTCTGTACACTGAAAACATTCATTATTTCTATGTAAATGGAACATGTACAAACATTTACCATGTACTTGAAAGATAAAGAAAAGCTTAATAAATACTTCCAAATATTTAAAAAAAAAAAGATTTTTATCATACAAAAAAAATTCCCTTTATTGTCTTTTTAACTAGTGATCTTGAGTTACAGATGTCTTGATATATACTATTTTAATTATTTTACATATAGTATTAAGTAGTATTATATTTACATATAGTATTAAGTAGCTGATCTACATAACACTGATGTTTAATTTTATTTCACATACAACTATTAAATATGGGGAAAAAATTCAATTAACCTTAAAGGAATAAAGCAAACAGGAGAAGAAACTTGAGGTTAAACTGACTTTTAACCACATGCATAACATTCCATTCAATAGCTTCAGAATAAACAAAATAGGTTTGTTCCTATGGGGTGACTTTAGGACACCCTATAAGACTAATCACATATGAGGTCACAAACCAACTCATTTTTTACAAGTCACTAAATTTTATTTTTTTAATTTTATCATTAGTAGTGCAAGGGAGTTGCATTGTGAATATTTCATAGATGCATACAGTTCGCCATCGCCCTCATGTTCCATTATCCTCTCCCACATACCATCCACCAAATTTTAACAAATTTGAAAAATTGAGATCATATCTAGTACCTGTTCTGCCCACAATGCATTAAAAGTAAAAATTTATAACAGGAGGAACTTTGGAAACTGTACAAATATAGAAATTAAGCAACATGCTCCTAAACAACCAATGGACTAAGGAAGAATTTAAAAGAGAAATTTAAAAATTTCTTGAGAGAAATGAAAATAGAAGTACAACATACAGAAACTTATGGGATTCAGCAAAAGCACTTTTAGGAGGGAAAAGTATAGTAATAAATGCCTATATGAAAAAAGTAGAAAGATCTCAATCTAAATTTTACATCTCAAGGAAGAAGAACAAAGTAAGCACAAAATTATTATAAGAGAAATACTAAAGATTGGAGAGGAAGCAAATGAAATTAAAACAATACAAAGCATCATCAGCATGAGAGTTTTTTGGTTCAGTTTTTTTGTTGTGTTTTGTTGGCAGTACTGGGGTTTAAACTCAGAGCCTCATGCTTGATAAGTAGGCACTCTACCATTTGAGCCACTCCTCCAGCCCTCCAGCCCAGCATGAGATTTTTTGAAAACATAAACAAAATGAACAAACTCTTCACTGGACTAAATAAGAAAAATTGGAGACATTCATCAAAATCAGAGATGACAAAGACTATAAGTAAATATTTACAACAACAATTTGGAAAACCAACAACAAATGGACAAATTCTAGACCCATGTACCCTAATATGAT